TTTAAACCATTGGCTATGGTTTATTTATAGAGTAATACATAGTTCACAATTAAATGCCAAGCTGTAATTGAATCAAAAGATTCTGCTGATGCCTTGAATCACAAGGGTGCAGCTCAAGTGCTTTATAAAGGGTAGCAGAACCTGAGACTAAATTACAGCCTCCAGTATTCAATCTGGGATCATGCATTATTATTTATAATGTGGATAAAAAGATTATAATAATACTGAAGTAAATAAAAAGAAAATGCATCAAAGAGCAGAATGCAGAATGCTTGCAAAAACTTTCAATTTGTGCTGTGGGAGGCTAAGGATTATACCGTACAAGAAATAGGACTGGAGGAAAAGTATTTGGTAAACAGTTATATTCTTCAAAAAAACCCAACAACCCACAAAACTTTAAAGTTCTTAAATAAAAGGTAAGTATATCTTTCACTGCTTAATCCATGGTAAATTTATAATGTTCTGATAATATGGTTACAACAAATTTATCTGAAGTGATTTACAGAATAAGTAACTGTCTCCAAACCTTATAAAGTTCAATTTGGTTCGGCAGTATGTGAACAAAACAAGAGAACTATTTTCTAGTACAAAACCTCAGCCTCAAATACGACAAACACCATGAGCACAAAGACTGATTGACAAAGACTGTGTTTATTACAAAAAGGCAAAGATTACTTTTAAAATGTGTCTGATTGCACTTAAGAATGTGATATACTAATAGAACAATAATGATAAACTCTCTAGTCATCAGTGAGTTAACAAGGAAACTAATTGTGAACTATTTATTAGGAATATTTTTTCATTGTATTAGTCTCTGTGGTATAAATTCTCTCATGTAATTTTCCTCCACTGACTTGCTTTGTCAATTTCTTATACAATGAATGGTGCTGGACTGCTAGTCTTGAACACTGAAGTCCCATGTGTGTCCACAGAAAGATACAAAATGGGCATCCACAGTCATGCTCTTCCAGACTGCTCAACCAAGATGCATTCTAGAAGGGCCACTTCTAGGGATGAAAAGATAATTTAGTCTTGATGCTCAAAAAGTCTTTGGCCTATCTGCTGGCAACTGGAATGGTATTCTGGTGCTTCTGGTAATATCATTTATAGGTGACAAAAGGCACACGGGGACATGCATTCCAGTAATTGTGATACAGCTGCTCTGATGTGCAAATCTGTCCCTTAGGAACTGGATTAAATCTACCAGATCATTACTCATCGGTTCCCTACCTACCATCAGTTAGTCATTTGCTATCACCACTGACCTGGATAACAGATGAAATGCTGACGCACAAGGAAACAGTGTGATAGCCTGCTACCAATCTCTTGAACTATTTGTTTCCCAGAACCTTGCATTATAAGGACATTTGGACTTTTTTGGAGGGGAGGAGGGCAGTGGGAAGAGGGAAAGATATTTGCTATCTCTACATCCAGCAAACCGCCACCTCCTCACATCACTTGCTAGAACACAGGAAGTTGCTAATAACAAAAATTTAATGTGATGCAGGCAGGGATTGAACATTTGTATGGAGATCAAGAATATCCACAGCTATAATAATTAATGGTAACAAAAAAGTTGTGGAAGGGATATTAATCTTCATGCTTCAATGCTTGAAGTAATCTCGGTTAGAGATCAGGATGTGTCCTAAGGGGGGGGAGGGAGTTATTTGCCTATGCAGAGTGCTTGCATCTTCCACAAGCATCTTGTACAGTCCAATGTTGGAGACAGGATACCAGATATGATGGACCTTGGTCTGATCCAGTGTGGAATTCTTGTGTTTATTTAGGGGCAGAGCCATAGGGTAAAACTGTTTTTTGCTGAACATAAAAATTACCAGCACTAGAAGAATTAAACAACGTATGATAAGCATATAAAATTATTTTGGCTATGATAACTCTCTATTAGGGAGTAACAAAGGGTGGTGTTTGTCTGTCAGGGAGCAGGCAGGAAAGTAATATTTCATGACAACTATTAATAAATTAACAAATCATTATGGAATCAACCACCTGGGAAATCCCAGATGCGTATAAAGTTTTGGTTTCCATGATTATCATGTTGGTTTAAGAATTGAACAAATGCTCCAATTTGGTGTTCAGCCAAGAACCTGTCAGGTTTGTGTTGAGATAATTTATTAACATTCTAAACAGAGACTTGTGTTAGGAATAAAATATCTGCAATGCTTATCTGAGAATGGGGCCTTCTTTTATCATCTAAATAGTTTTGTCAATCTTGCTACAACACCATGACATCCAGAGGCAGTTAAGTTTGAACACGTAAGTGAATCTGAATTCTGGATAAAGAATCTAATCAATTTGACTTTCCTTAGGTGCTCATTACCAAAGTATCTAGACTAAAGTAGGTCATTGAATGTCATTTACAAAAATACCTTACATGGAGATGAGAGAACAGTACTTCAGAAGAATGGTTAGGAAGGCAAATAGCAGTCAGGGTACATGACAAAATCCCTGATCAACCCATGGGCTAGAGGTTATCCTCACAACCATTGGTTCACAATTATTATTAATTATCATGACAGGTGCCGTCTTCCTCCTTACTCCAGGAGTGCTCAACCCCTGCTCTGCCTCAGACCCAGCCCCACTTCTTCCCACCCCTGTTATGCCCCCTCCCCAAGCGCGCCCCATCCCCGCTCCTGCCTTCTCCCCCCATCGCCTCCTGCATGCCGCAGAACAGCTGATTGCGGTGGGCGGAAGCTGCTGGGAGGGATGGGGAAGAGTTGATTGGCAGGCTGCTAGTGGGTGGGAGGTGCTGGTGGGGAGGAGGGGAGCTGGCTGCCAGTGGGTGTTAAGCATCCACTAATTTTGTTCCATGGGTGCTCCAACCCTGGACCACCCACAGAGTCAGCACCTGTGATTATTACTATTATAAAGCATTTGTAAAAGCACCATAGATGTGCATAGTACTAAATGGAGAAATTAAAGACACACTCACTGCCTCAAAGAGCTAACAGTTTAAAAAAAGTTCTGCCACTCGTCTCAGCATTTGAGTATTATATTAGTACATGAGAAATGCCATTAAAGGTAGAGCAAGAGTAGTAAGACACAAGCACTAGGTGGATAACGTAAGATGACTCAAGGACATGTTAGACTGGGCAAAGGTGAGGGAGGTTGGAGGCTAGTAGAAATAAGACCTAGATTGTCACTAGTCCTAACATGGCCACATAGGACACATTCTTTTTGCCCCCTCCTCATCTTCTGAAGTGAGAGAAGAACTGCAGCTCATGCTCAAATAAATTGGTTAGTCTCTAAGGTGCCACAAGTACTCCTTTTCTTTTTGCACAACCTGTATTCTCCACTGTAAGAAAGTGGATGGAAGGTGCTAAGAATGTGTGAGGAGTGGATGGGGAGTGGGCAGAGCCACAAATTCACTCCCTCCAGTCAGACACAATGGCCAATGGAAATAGCCAGGCATAAGAAGGAAATAAGTCTTTCCCCCAAAGAGTGAAGTAGCTTATGTACCCCACATAGCTAGGGGAAGCATGGGAGAAACAGTTACTGTGACATACAATACCTTTAGGGTGTCCCATTTGGCTACATGCTGTCCTTTGCAGAATGCTGAGCCAAAAGGTTTAATTTTGCTCTAAAACAGCTGTTTTCCTTGTGTCATTGGAGATGCATCATATCGGTTCCTTCTCTTTCAATGAGATTTTCTGAGGGTTGCACTAGTATGAGAGTAACTTCTTAAGGGATTGTGAGAAGAAGTGGGCTTTGAAGAAAAACTGAAAGGAGGCGGTATTATGGTGCACAGAAAGAGAGTGGAGAATCTAGGCTCAGTACCCGAAAAATTATCATTGTGCTTTAAGTATGCTGCATGGAAATTACAGATCCCGTGGAAATTTTTATAAATGTAAGGCTATGACCCAGAGAGTCCTTGGCCACAACATTCCTGTATGTATTGTAATACACTATTACATGCTGTGCAATGGTTGATGTGGGTATATGTCAAAGCTGTTATATGCATTTAGTATAGTTTGTGAAACATTTGGGATTCTTTGGGGAAGATGTGATATATAAACCCAAGGAGACAGATTTTCAAAAGAGTGCAGTTCCCAGTTAGGCACCTAAATGAAGTGGCCAGATTTTCAAAAGTACTTGGAACCCAGCAATTCCCACCAAGAATTTGAAAATCTAGCCAGTTCACTGAATTGTCTAGTTGGGAACTGAGTTCTCTAGATGTTATTGTCCAAGATTTCTTAATATTATTTCATTTTTAGGTAATTTTCCAGGCACCACTATCACACATTAACTGACTTACAACAAAACCAAGAATCTGATTCTCATTCTGTTCTGGTCGCATTTTATACCCCTTTTCACAGGTATAAATGACCACACAAGCAGAGAATCCTGCCCCAAAAATCTGTTCATACTGAAATATCACATGGATGGTGGGGTATATCATTGAAGCGGAGCTTTCAATCTCTCAGAGAGGCAATAACAATTTAAGGAGAGAGAGCAGTTAAACCAAATTGGGGAAAGTTAGAAAATAGAACACCTCTTCCTTTCTCAGGCCTTGTCAAGATATCATTCCAAATTTAAGATTCCTTGGCTGGATGCAACTTTCTCTGTGCACATTCACACAATATAATTGTGTATGTATTCAAAATCCTAGCTCATATCTGCCTCTGTACCAGGATTCTGGTGACAGATTTGGGTAAACTTGTCCTCTACTGCTATATTAAGCAGCATTCCATGCCATGCTATTTCTAGGGCAAATACTCACATTTGTATTTTGTTAACATTCTTTTTCCTGAGAGAAATGGTGTGAATAAAATTTAACCATTCACATGCTTTTTTAGAAAGCAAACAAAGAATAATGCATGAGCCAGGCTGGAGTAAATCCACTTTTAAATTCAGGGAGCTCCAGAACATTTTTTACAGTATACACCTGATTCTTACATACAGTATCAATTAAATAGTTTCTTTATGTTATTTACTTTTTGCTGGACAGAACTGCATAGTATTTCATTGCAGACTGAGCTTACCTCCCCTTCCGTGGACTGCAAGTGCAGTTCTTTCCTACAGGTTGCCTTTAAGTCTCCTGCAGCCGCACTAACTTGTACTCCCCTTGGTGCTTCCATTATCAAAGATCTAGTTGGAGACTCAAGTCTGAAAAATAAAAGTATCCATTAATAAAAAAATCCTCATATCAACAGCATGTGCTGACGAAAATCCATTGTCAAGACAAAGAAAATGAAAAGTGAATTGTTGCGTGAGTTCTTTATTAATTATTCTTTGTGACTCCAATGCAAGAAAGCACCTAAGTATGCACTTAAACCCATCACTGTTCAAGAAAGTACTTAAGTATGTGCTTAACTTTAAGCAACGGGATTCATGCACATGCTTGCTGTACTGCTTAGGGATGCTTTCTTGAACTGAGGCCTAATTTAGTTGATAGCTGCTCCGACACTGAATTATCGTTAGTACAGATATGCTGCTTTCTAGTGTGACTATATGCTGAAAAGCAATGTCTAACCTGTCTATGCAATGCCAGATGTACATTTAAATAAAATCCAAATTGAAATGTTTCCTTTGAATTTTTTAATAACAGTTTCAATTCCCTGGGACCTCCTCTTCCTTCGCAACATACAAATAACTCCTACTAACTGCACCGGAGTTACTCACATGCTTGGGGGTGAGGAGGGGATTGGGGAGTGAGAGATTGATTAGGCCCTCAGTCTGTATAACTCTGCTTTCTGCACACATTTCACCCCCTTCTGCAAACTGTTCACTGACCTCTTCAACCCCACAATATCTGCCATATTCTCTGTATCACTTCTCAATGCAATTACCACATGCATCCGATGAAGTGAGCTGTAGCTCACGAAAGCTCATGCTCAAATAAATTGGTTAGTCTCTAAGGTGCCACAAGTACTCCTTTTCTTTTTGCGAATACAGACTAACACGGCTGTTACTCTGAAACCTTCTTTTTGTCCGTCCACTAGTTCCCCCTTTTCTATCTCTTCTTTTCCTCACACTCTCTGTCCTCAAGATCCTGGACCACTCAAAGCCAAGGGGTGAGCTCTCTCTGCAGTGCTAGCTCACAGTACTCCACGCTTCTCTGCTAATTGAGAGTTGTAGTGGTGAGGATTTGTGGTTATGGTGCTGTGACAGACCCAGACCAGTGGGGTACAGGAGTCTGGTAGAAGGCAAATATACTGGCCACCGGATAAACAGTTTTCTGTTCCCTGAGTGACCAGAGCAGGGGCTGCCCTAGAGCAATCAGGAACCTGCTAGAACCAATTAAGACAGGCAGGCTAATCAAGGCACCTGGAGCCAATTAAGAACTTTCTAGAATCAATTATGGCAGGCAGGCTAATCAGGACACCTGGTTTAAAAAGGACCTCCCATCGGTTAGTAGGGGGGTGTGCTGCTGGAGGAGTGAAGAGTTCAAGGGTGATCAGGCTTCAGAAGGAAGCTCCTGCAGTGAGGATAAAGAAGGTGCTGGGGGAAGGCCATGGGGAAGTAGCCCAGTGAGTTGCAGCTGTCATGCAGCTGATACAGGGAACACTGTGGACAGCTGCTATCCACAGGGCCCTGGGCTGGAACCCGGTTCCCCCTCATCCCCCCAACTCCTGATCGGACACAGGAGGAGTTGACCTGGTCTGTGGGAAACACCAGAAGGGAAGGTCTAAATTGGAAAGGGATCTGGCCTGTCCCCAACCTACTAGGACACAGAGACTGCAGGGATTGTTCTCGGTTTCCCCCATTTGGGCCAGGGATGAGGTTAGCTGAGTGGATGGCAGGTTTGAGCCACTAGCAAAAGTGTCCAAACTGAGGGCTGCAGTGAATTCTCTGAGGCAAGGAAATCCACCAATAAGCTAAGGACCCACCAAGACAGAGGAGGATCCTGCAGGAACCTCACAGTGCTAACCTGCAGGGCTTAAAAGGACAGATGGTCTAGTGGATAGGGCCCTGCACTGGGATTCAAGAGGTGTGGATTCAATTCCTGGATCAGCCAAAGACTTACTATGTGATCTTATTTAGAATGAGCAAGCTTGGACAAATCACTTAATCTACACAGAATCTCAGTTCTCCATCTGTAAAATGAGGATAGTACTGCCTAAGCTCACAGGGGTGTTATGAAGATGAAATCCATTAATAATCATGAGGTGCTCAGATACTACCACAAAGAGAGCCAGTTCAGCACCTAGATAGATAGCTGGGAGAAAAGCAGCTGAAGTGGTTTGTTCCTCTGCATTTTCCTTCTATCAGTTTGACCCCTGAGTAGTAGGTCATAATCACCCAGAAGTATAACAAAATGCATTTATAAAGGGGAAGAAGAAAGGAATTGTTTGATATAAAGCATTTGCCAGCTAAAGTAAACTGGAATAGCTATTAAGTATCAGGCGACTGGATTTAGGCGTATTGTAATATTTTATTTATTTATTTTTTGCAGACAGGAGATAGCAGTCATGGATTATTTTCCTGAAGCCAAAAATACCACATTACATCAAGGATAATGGAGATGAGGTCTGAGCTGAATGTCATGAAGATATCATCTGTAAAATATTTCGGACTGCTGGGTGTCACTGGCACTCAATGGGAATAAATCTGAAAGCAATTATTTGGAAGTAAAAATATAACTTAAATACATTGTTCAGATATGACATGATCAGGTACTAAGCGTTTTAGATGCCTGTCTTTAAAGTCAAATGCAAAACATGAACACATGATCTTGTGTTAAAGAATGAGAGAGATTTTTTGAAGACCTTTATCATCTTTTACTCAGGAGGATACAACTGCCCTCTGTTATATGTATTGCACTGAATGGATGACATTAACAATTCCACGTTACTGCGGGCTTCAGAAAATCTAAACCACAATTGCTTTTTCCTGGAAGTTTTCCAGTAGCAGGTATAGTGTTGCATATACTGATCTGTGTTGGGTAATATCTTTCACAGCACTGTAATCTTTTCTATAGGATCACTAACAATTATTTGCAATAAACATGCCACAGTGCTGCTCAGAATTGTCATCTCTAGTTTCAACATGAATAGTCAAATTTCCACCAGTTTTATGAAACTGGTAAGTGACTGATTGCATGAATATAAAAGATCTGAACAATGAATTCCCGAAGAAGCTATTAATATTGTATTTCTGTGCACAGCTGAAAGAAATTTGAGCATTTTCAGAAAACAAAAGCATTTAAGTAATTAGTGGAAATTATTAATTTCAGCAATGTGATGTATAGATGAATTTCTGAGATTTGCAGTTTAGTTTTTAAAAGCTATCTGCTAGCACAAATTATTTTTCCTATCTTTTTACAGTTGCTTCTGTACTTTTATTATTGTTTTACTTATTATACATCTGGAAAGAATCTTAGGGGCTGTGTGACCTGAAACTATCAACTAGAAAAGTAAAAGCCTATATGTTCAGAGAGATTTTTTTCCTCAGTAGGTGTTGCCAGGGGATAATCAGACCCATGATGTAGAATAACACTTCTTGTTTGTTTCAGTCCTATTTTCTAAAAGCTTTGATCTTTGCCATAAACCTATTGCAACATTGCATGATATCATATTTAGGTCTCTAAAATGTATAATTTAAATGGCAGCAAAGGTCTCTTCTGAATACTGGAGCAAGAATCTGCTTTCCTTTCAAATTTACTAAGGGCCTGTCAGAGTGGCATTTACTTCTGTGAGTGTTTCCTAGTCCCATGATTTCATTTTTTTTTTCTACCCAAGACAACAAGCAGATCTGACAAAGCAGAAAACTTTATACTTCCTGTGTTATTAGACAGACACCTTAATGTAGCAGGAAAGAGAAGTATACTTTTAAAACAAGGATCTTTAAAAATTTAATCTGCCAATTTCAGACACAACAGGTATCCAGATTAAACCAACCTAAATATTTTGGTTCAAAGGTCAAATGACACGTGACACTAAATTGAAATGACACATGAACCTTACAGTTAGGATATTCCATTGTGCTGGATCTGAGAAGACTGATTGATGAGCCACTAGTGAATTGAATCACCCAGACACTGTGTGATTCTTACATTTACATGAAACACTGTGTGTGATTCTTACATTTACATGAAACATATTTACATGAGACACTGTGTGATTCTTACATTTACATTCTTACATCAATCTTACATTTACATGAAACCTTTCACCCAGAGGATCACTTTGTCAGCTTCTGAAGGCCAACCCTTTTGGGGTGAAATGGGTCATCTGTCCATAGCAGCATTATACTTCAGCTACAAGGAACAATTTAGGAAGGCATAATTTAATTACTCACATCTGAATTTGGCCAAGAATACCATATGATGGGTAAGGGGTCAGGACCTGAGTTTTTCCATCTCATGCAATTTCAAGGTACCCTCAGCTGAAAAAAATTATTAGGGGTTCTTGTTTTGTTTCCTCATTGTTCCTCCTTCTGATCTGCTCAGAAAACATACAGGCCCTGATTCACAGTGAGCTGGTTGTGGGTCCATGATCCTCAGCCACACAGTGGAATACAGAGCACTAGGGAGCCTAATCTAACATGTCTAATGGAGTTTACCTAGGTGGAGGATCAGGCATAGGGGCCTCTGCTCCACCCTAACCCTTTCCATGTCTGTCTCATCACCAGTCCACCACGTACACTTCTCTGTCCTCCCCCTTACACAGAGTTGGTAGGGAAGCTGGTATAGGGTTATATCAACTGGCTTTACATCGGCAAAGATTCTCCCAACACAGGGGGACTTCTCCTGTGGGAATCTGATTGACTTCAATTTGCTTTGGGCCCATTGAGCAGAAAATCCAGCCCACACTATTCAGTAGAACCACCAAACCGCATTTCAGTCTGTATAGATAGGGCCTCTAATTTCTCTTCCCATGGTATCACCGGAGTCCTTTCTCTCTAGCATGTGCAAGTAGCTAGTAAAACTTAAAGCACTGTAGGCTAAGTCTGCTAAAAAGGAACGGGAGTATTTAAAAATGTGCTGCTAACCAGAAAACACACATGAAGAAGGGCATCCACTTCCCCCTCCCTAATCCAGAATCTTTCAAACTGGCTTAATGCAAAGAGTCCCAAGATGACACATTTCCAAGACTTTGATCCCTTTATCTGTGAGTTTCACCAACCTTTTTTCTTTTCTTTTCTTTTTCAGTTAGTATTATTTT